CGCAGCCTTCCTCTGGCCTCCCGCCTCTCCGGCCTCTCCGGCCGCCGCGGAAGGATGAGCGCACGTCACCAGCCTCCCCTGGGGTGTCGCAAGGGTACCGGAAGCCTGGCTGCTACACGTTTCTGGGCTGGCCTCTTTTGCCTCGGTTTCCCTGAGGCCTCCCTGTTCTCAGGCTGGCTCACCTCACACCCGGCCTGGCGCCCGCTGCCTCCAACCCTTCACCGCCTGCCCTGTCCCCCGGGTCTTCTGACCGGCCAGCCTCACCTCCGCCACCCTCCTGGGCACCATGCTCTGGTACACCCAGGCTTCCTTTCCTCAGCTGGCTCTGCTGTGCTGCATCTTGGTCGCTCTCCCCAGAGACTCTGCCGCCCTTCTGTCCTCGGTGCCCTAACACTGGGGCAGCACAAGAACTTGGGACTTTGAGCAGCCTCTGAACTTGCTCCAGCCTTAAGTTTCCTCCTATGCTCAAAAAGCTTGGAGAGGGGAGAGGAATAACACGTACGTCGTGGAGTGGTCAGGAGGCCGGAATGAACCTCGGATCGCGCCGTGAGAGCCCTGGGTGCGGACACACTGCTGGCTTCAGCTGTTTGAAGGCGCATCCTTCCCGAACCGGGTGGGCCGGTGTCCGCGGTCTGCTCCCCGGGGTGCTGTCCTTCCTGTCCCGCACCCGGGACCCAGGTGGAAGAGGTGCCGTCCCCTGAAACCTCAGGGCCTCTTCGCACAGACAGCCGAAAGAGTCTTTCCGCCAAACATTTCCCTTCCCTCTGTCCTGTAGGGGGCCGAAATGTTTAGTTTTTCCACTCTTAGAAGCTTTTCTCCTTATTTCTTGCCCAGCCCCAAATCCCCAGGACTTGATGGCAGCTAGGCTATGGGCTCAAGGCTCAGCTGGTGGCGTCTACAATTTCCCGGCCCTCCTCCCTCACCACCACCCCATCAAGCTTCACTGCTTATGACATTTAGGGCCAATTACACGGTGAGGATTTGGCTCCCACGAGCTGACTTCTGGCTAGGCCATTGGGTTGTTGAATTATTTTCTTGCTGCACTTGGCTTTGGTTTCGAACACCCTGTTCCTGTTTTGGCTAACGCTTCTGCCACTACAGTGATGGGTGGGTGGGTCCTCACGCCGTTTTCCACCTGAGGTCACCACCTTCCAGCCCTGCACCAGAGGGAAGTTGACGTGCCATTGCCTACCAGGTAAGTCTCCTTCCCTGTGGCCTTTACGTTCAAGGCTGTGGACGTTTGTGTCTTTTCAGCATCCTCCTCCACCATCCTCCTTCCTTCTTCCGTGCTTGAGTCTCCAGCCACTCCAACTTGCTTAAGGTCCCCTAATCACGCCGTGGCCCTTTGTGTCCCTGTGTCTTTGTTTGTGCTGCTCTTCTGCCGGAAATGTTTTTGCCTCTTCCTGTCCACACAGTCGCGGGCTGGGAATGGGGTCCAGCGGTAGAGCATTTGCTTAGTGTGTCAGTTAGGTTTCTCTAGAGGAAGAGATTTACTAAAAAATAGATAACATATAGACGGTGGGTTTACAGTGGCCACAGAGTTGGGTTTGAAAGAATGAAAAAGGGTCGTCCGTGCCCTGGAGACCTGGAGGATCTGCCCTAGGTAGGAGGAAGCTAAGGAGTCTGTGTTGAAGGCTGAAGGGTCTGCACTGGAGTCGGAGATGGACATGCAAACGTGAAAAGAGCCGTGGAAGAATTCCCTAATATCAATTCTAGAGATCCATCTCTCACTGGGAGCTTTTGCGCGATCCTTTTTTTTTTTCTCTCTTCTTTAAATTCTTGCCTCCCATGGTTTCTGTGACTCTATGTTTCTGGACTTTCTCCTACAGTTCCTCTGAACTCTGTTTGCTTAATTTGAGTCTCCTTGGTTGGCTATTCTTCCTCAACCCAACAGTGAATAGTGAAATTCACTAAGGCCTTTCTTCCAGAGCCACCTCGAGCATCCCAACAGCTTACGGCTTCAGTTACTGTCTAAATGATTCCCGAATCTGTTCCCACCCCAAATTTCTCTTGCGAGTTCCCAGCGCCGTCCATCTAATCCTGTAAGGGACGTGGACGTGGCCACTTGGATGGTTCTCAGGCCCCTCAGATCCCACCTCTTTACAGTGAGCTCCTCATCCTCCCGTCCAGATCAGCTCCTCAGCCCCAACCCTGCACACAGCTCTTCCGGCCGCTCAGTGTGTCCATCCAACATGGAGTCCCCGGGCAGGATGAGTCCAGTGACACAGCACCAGCCCGACACTCCTGGTGCCCTGGGCTGGGGCCTCAGCGCTGCAGCAAAAGAAAGCAAACAAAATGCACCTGATTCTGTCAACTCCACTTCTATCAAATCTGTTCAGATCTACAGCAGGCCCTTGCTGCTCTTTAATTGGCTCCGGGAAAGGCACCGAGTACCAAGTTATTTGGGCTGAAAAGCGGAGTGCGTCAGGAGGCTGCCACACCACCCAACTCTGGCTTGCGCATCATGTTCCAAAGGCAGCAGGTCTGAAAGCAGCCAAGGCCAAGACCTGACTGCATCAGCCTCTGCTTCCCTTCCAGAGCCACCATCCTGCCTGAGCCGTCTTCCTCCAGCTCCCCAGAGCTGCTCTTATTCCCACTCACCCATCATCCCCAAAGCTGTCTTCACAAACACATGTCTGGTGTGGTTAAGCCCTTGTCACTCCAGGCTTACAACCTTCTAATGCTTCTCACTGCTTTTAAAGTAAAATCTGAATCATTAATGCAGCCCCCAAAGCTACTATGGTCAACGATGATCTTACCTGCTCATATTTCCTGTCACATCCCATGCCATTCTTTCCCTTGCTCCCTGTGCACTAAGGTGGCTTTCATCAGCTTCCTTCCAATTGCCTACCACAGGGACTTTGCACGTTCTTTTTCTGCTACTAGAATGTGTATCCTCACTATCTTTGTCCAGATACTTCCTCTTCATACTTTAGATGGAGATTTGAGCCAGGCATGGTGGCGCATACCTGTAATCTCAGCTCTCAGGAGGCTGAGGCAGGAGGATTGCTGTGAGTTCAAGACCATCCTGGGCTACATAGTGAGTTCCAGGTCAGTCTCAACTACATAGTGAGACCCTGTCTCAAAAAAACAAAAAACAAACAGATGGAGATTTGAATATCACTTTTTAAAGATTCTATTCATTTCCCCACCTATGATATGTCCCTGTGATATTATCCTTTCTTGGTCTTTCTTTCATAGAACTTAGCATAATTATAATTATTCATCCACCCCTGGCTTTTTGATGAAGATATAGCACATCTGTTTTGTTCAATAAGTTTTTTGTTTGTTTTGATTTTTTGAGATAGATTCTCATTATGTAGTTCCGGTGACCCTCCTGCCTCAGCCTCCTAAATGCTGGGATTACAGGCATGTACCACCATTCTTGGCTTTGATAAGTATTTTTAAAATAAAATGAAATAATAGCTCCTCTTCTGGGAACACTTCTGACTCCCCTGACTCTACCAGAATTAATCTTTCTTCTCTTTATGGTCCCACAGCTTACCATTTAACGACTTTCCCCTCAGTGCTGGAGATCAAGCCCAGGGCCTCCGTTTGCCTCCTATGAGACTCACTGTCATTTGATTCGTACTGTTGTTAACTGAGTCTGCCCCCTCACCATCGTAACATGAGCCCCTGAAGACAGGAGCTGGGGTTTTGGTCCTCGTGTCTCCCTTCCCCACATGCAGTATGTGATTATAGTCTTCATGATTACACATACTTTCAGTAATCAGTGGGTTTTTTGTTTTGTTTTTTTTTAAAGACAGGGTCTCACTATGTAGTTGAGACTGACCTGGAACTCACTCTGTAGCCCAGGCTGGTCTCGAACTCACAGGATCCTCCTGCCTCAGCCTCCTGAGTACTGGGATTACAGTAATCTGTATTTTTTTAATGAGATGGATGCATGTTCATTATGACCTTCAGGACCTAAAACATTTTTTTTCCTAAAGTGAAACAAGTGTCGGTGAAAAACTCCTTTATGCTTGTAGAGTGACCAATGGCTAAGAAAGTATCATTT